CCGGAAACATGAGACGCCCGAGTCTCTTGTTGCGGCAGCCGTCGCCGGTCTTGCACCGCTGGCTGTGGCACACGTAGGTGATCTCCGTCCCTCTCCTGAGGAGCCCAAAGTTGTTGCTGCAGTGCGGCTGCGCCCCGTCCTCCGCGTACGGACACACTCGCCCTTCCGCACCGTTCCGCCAGTGATACATCACCGCCCCTAGACCGGCAACCGTGCTCAGCTCTGCCTTTGCAAAGACGGAGGAGTTGTCGCCGAAACCGCTGAGCATGCCCCGCATCACCTCGACCACTTCCTGCTGCAATCCGAGATCCGTCAGGTCCGGCGCCCCGATTACGGCGCTGGCCCTCGCGCTAGGCCCTGCCCTGCCGGGAACCTCTGATGGCAGTCTCGCGCGCTCCCCAAAGCCCCTCGCCACCCGCTCGTTCAGAATCTTGATCAACCAGTCCGGAAGAGGAGGCAGATCTCCTGCCGGGGGAAGCTCGCCTCCGCCGTCAACCGTATACCGTGCCGTCTCACCGAGTCGCTCGTACGAAGACGGCGGGCAAGCGATCATGACATTCGAGCTGACGCCCCTCATGTCGACTCCCACCTTCTTCAGAACCTCCTTTCCGGATATCGGATCTCGAACCCTCAGCTCCAGCTTTGCAAAGTGGGTCGGCGTCTCCACGCCCAGCCCTGACTCAAGGCTTCTTCGGTGAGAGAAGTAGATGTGCACCCCCCCGCTGCCCGTGCGCACTCGAGGAGCATCAAACGCGCCGTGCTCGGTCTCCCAGATTGCTAGCTGCTCCATGCCCCCGTCACCAAGGTCGAAATCAAGCACGACGACTTTGGACGCTGCCGTGTTGATCAGCAACGTATTGTCGTAGGGCTGGAAGAAGCGGTCCGTCAGGCAGTCGGCTAGAGTAGTGGCCGGCCAATCTCGCGGGGGTCTCATTTTCTTCCCTCCCTTTCCTCCCTTTGCCTTCGAGTCCCACTCGGTGTTTGCCGTGAAGACGACGTAGCCTTTTGCGACCAAGTCGCGAGCGGCGATCTCCTGCATCGATCGCAGACGTCAGCACAAATCAACTTACAATTCTTCAACATGGTCACGTACAAAATCCAATGCAAAAACGCATAAC